GCCAGCCTCCCGCAGCCGCTGTTGTTGTTGTCAGTCCGCTCGGCCGAAGAACACATCAGCGACGCACACCGCGAGCAGCCAGCGCCATGACTTACCAACTCTACCGCAACACCACCCTGGGCAATACCTTGCAGGAGAGCCTAGACGAACTCATTCAGGTTAGTCAAGGGCGGGAGATCCGTTTTTGGAGGAAAAGCGACTAATGGAAATTCCATAAATCGGGACGACCTGCACAGCCCGCTGTTGAAGAATTTGCAAATCCTTGATGAAGGCAGATTGTATAAGCAAAACTTTTTTTGTGCCTGTGTGACGGAAATAACAGTCAGGAGATATCAAAGAAGACCAAAACGAAGGCATAACACCAAATATTTGATTGCGCCGTATGACCCAAAAGGACCGGAAGTGATTGCACGAAAGAACAATGTCCATATCTAAGATTAGAATCAGGATAATTTTGATGGAAAACTCCGCGTCCTTGTATGCACATGAGTCAGTGTAGTGTATCCTTGATAAATGATTATCGGCTTACCTTCACTCCCTGCTGTTTGTTTTCTATCGCAAATGGCGTTGTGTTATTTGTTATTTAAAGTCTTTACCCAACCGTTTCTCAATATCTGTGCAGCCTTTATTCAGAATTCACCTTATCAGTAAATAAATAACTAGTTTTAGCAGTGCTTAAGAATGAAGGAAACACCTGGAGTTTTGGTTGATACCATGCCACTTTTTATGGAATCTGAATATAACTTCCCCAGATTTCTGTAGATTGAAGGTGTTAAATTTTAAGTAAATTTCATAAGCAGGTCATCAGTGCAAAATTTATTTGCCTTGTAGACATTAGCTTTTGCATAGAATTACCAAAAGGACAAGAGACTTGCCATTCACATAAAGGCCATTGATTGTTAACAAGGGAATTCTTTACAGTATAGACCCACTTGCCATAGAGTAAATCTCCAAAGTCACAAAATTTATTCAACAATCTAAGTTGCCTTAGTTGTCCTTACCCTTTTGGAACTGCCCATGGGGAGAGTTGTTGGGGGGGGGCTCTCCCCAGCACCCCCAACACCCCCCAGCAAACATTGCCTTTTTCTCAGAATGCACTGCAAAAAAGAGCAGAAATTCAGGAGCACCAAGTGGACTAATGCTGTGAGCAGCCCTTTCCACAATCTTTTTCCTTTATTTGTGGCATTACCATTGAGTGTCTGTAGAATTATTTGTACCAGCAACTGCAAAATATGAGATATATACTCTTCAATTTGCCCTAGTTAAGCATATTGATATAAAGATCAACCACTAAATACATCATGTTGTGGGTTTAACTATTGGCTATTGTTTACATAATGATTGCATCCTATTACTCTAGCCCAAACCTTAGGGAGCACTCTTAGAAATCTTCAAACATTGCCTTATGAATCTAAAACCTTTAGAACCAGGGTGCAAAGCCCCTAAATCCCTAGCCAATCTCGACTATTCCCTTGCTGGGGGCACCGCCCCAGGACCCCCACCCAATTTACATGGCCTTAGTCTCGCCATAGTTTGTGTCTTAACCAATTTTCCGCATTTCTTATGTTATTTTTATCTGCACCAAAGAGTAGATTTTTCCTCTTTGTGACATTGTCTTAACATTTTTCTAATTTTAGCACAGTCACTATGTAAATATATACCTGACTAATGTACACATATACATAGAGATAAATTGATAGATACCGATTGATAGATTGATACGTATAGATATCTGTTGCCAACTTAGATTCCTTCAAGATGATTTTTAAACAAATGCATATAACCATAGGCCTATACTTAATTATATATTTTTCTTTATGCTTGCCATAACAAAAACAACCCTGTGAAGTAGAAAATATAAGTGAATTGTTTTTTGTTTTTGTTTTTTCAGATTCAGCAAATTTCTCCAAATTTGGCCCTTCGAGTTCTGTTGCAGTTTGACAGAGCAATCAACCAAGCTTTAGCAACGAAAGTGCGAACCAAAATTTCATTCAAGGTGAGTTGTTTAATATTTGTTAACCTTTTTTATGTGTAAAGATGTAAGCATGTCTGAGCACCACATTTTTGAGTGTATAGAATAAAAGGATCTCAGAAAACCTACATCTTATGTCAGAAAGGCTTTAAACATTTACCTTTTTCCTTTATTATTATTGTTATTTTATTACACCCAAACTCTACAAGCCTAATGAGAGTCACAGCCAATAATAAGTACAAACCATATATGCCTTGCAGAGCACTTCACATACACACAGAAATATAGAAATGTATAGGCCTAAAATTAACTGCCTCCAAAGTGTGGATAGCAAGTAAGAATTAAAACTAAGTTGTCATTTTTAACAAAATGGGTACAAATATAAAGCAGATCCTGTCCCTGTGGTAGCAAGTATATCACTGGGCCACTGATGGCCAAGAATGGTGGCACTGGGATTAATAACAACTTTAAAAAATAATAGTGAAGCAGATTCTCTGCCTAGGAGACCTGCCACACTGGCCGGTAACTCAACCATAGCCTGACACTTAAAACATAAATCCATTAAAACAACTTTTGATATAACCATAGAATTAGTGGTCTTAGAGCTGTAAGGAAATACTGCTTGCCCATTCTGCACTATGATGCACTATTATGAGCAGCTGAGTATGTGCTTTTTCTACGGCAGTGGAGGGAGGGTACAGCATACACGTCATCTGTATTCATTGCACAGGTACCTTGGTGAGATAGTCACCAGTGTCATTACCTGCAAGTCGGACCTGAGACAGTGTTGTTATAAAGAATAAAGAAAATCGTTGTTTCTGAAAACATCTGTAGAATAATGGTCTTTGTCTCTTCAACTTAAATTAGGTACTTTGCTAATAATAGTATTCATACATACCTATAAAGAACATAAGAAAAATATACAAGAGTCGAAGATAATTGCAGCTGTGAACAGAAAAATCTATACATACTTATAATACAAATTTAGACTAAGAGGAGACAGGGTCAAGCAAGATTGATATATTATGGGGCTTGCTGGCATCACTAACACATTTAGTAACATACAGAACTTCCTCTAGTAGGCCTATGTAGTATCTCTGTGGCAAGAGTAAACTTGTTGGCTCATATGGATCCACAATCTCTGCCTTCCATAGATTCTTTTTTGTATTGCTTTGGTTACATGTTTTGGTTTTATTATTAGCACAATTAATGTAATTAAAAATAACATCTAATTTTAGTGAATGACTTCTTACTTATATCATTTCATTGTGAGATGGAAGTGGTTAAATAAATATGATACATTTTACTTCATTCTCCTCATTGCAGGCAAGCAAGCTGAACACATACCGATTTTGCGACAATGTGTGGACATTTTTGATGTCAGATGTTGAATTCAAAGAAGTTCAGGATTTTGCACAAGTTGATAAATTGAAGATAGTTGCCTGTGATGGTAGAGGTGAAGACACAAGACAAAGGTAGAAAAGCTGAGGCAGTTAGGACCAGTATAATGTAAGTGCAATATTTATGTTACCTTTTGGATTCAGCAGCGGACTCACTCACACACACACACACACTCTCTCTCTGTCTCTCTCTCTCTCTCTCTCTCTCTCTCTCTCTCTCTCTCTCTCTCTCTCTCTTCTCTCTCTCTCTCTTCTCTCTCTCTCTCTCTCTCTCTCTCTCTCTCTCTCTCTCTCTCTCTCTCTCTCTCTCTCTCTCCTCTCTCTTCTCCCTCCTCTCCCTCTCCCTCCTCCCTCCCTCTCCCTCTCCCTCTCCCTCTCCCTCTCCCTCTCCCTCTCCCTCTCCTCTCCTCTCTCTCCTCTCTCTCTCTCTCCCTCTCTCTCTCTCTCTCTCTCTCTCTCTCTCTCTCTCTCTCTCTCTCTCTCTCTCTCTCTCTCTCTCTCTCTCTCTCTCTCTCTCTCTCTCTCTCTCTTCTCTCTTCATCTCTCCTCTCTCTCTCTCTCTCTCTCTCTCTCTCTCTCTCTCTCTCTTCTCTCTCTCTCCCTCTCTCTCTCTCTCTCTCTCTCTCTCTCTCTCTCTCTCTCTCTCTCTAGTCTCTCTCTCTCTCTCTCTCTCTCTCTCTCTCTCTCTCTCTCTCTCTCTCTTCTCTCTCTCTCTCTCTTCATCTTTTCCGCATGCCTTCCCTCATTTTGGGTAGCTTTTTGCATACATGTTATATCCATTTCTACATTTTTCCAATGAAAATAAAATGAAATATTCCTTAAAATGGTTTTTGATGTTTGTTTTTTCTCGTTTCAGTGTCCAAGCTTACTGATGCATCACTTTGGGGGAAAAATCACTTTAAAAGGAATCAGTGTTCTGTAAAATGATCTGTTTTTTTATGTTAAATGTGGTCAACAAAAAGGATCTGTTGGTTATCCAAAAGGATTTAATGTTTTCAGAAATTACTTGAAATGATGATAACTTCTTTTGTAATGATGTAAAGATAATTATACTTAATGTAGTGGTTGGTGTGTGTGTTTTCTTTTTTTCTTTTTTACAGTGTTCTGTATTATGCATGGTTATGCATTGTACTTGGTCCTCATGATATGGAGAGAGACAAAATAAGTTAAAGTGATGATTCGCTCAAAGCCTATATAGTTTCCTTGTTTAAGAAAATAATACATTGAATTGGTCTATTTGTTTCATTATCTTTCTCATTTTCTATGTATTTGTAATGCTGATGGCCAGTCCTTTCTTATTTTGACGTGTGTGTGTATTTGTGTGTGTGTGTGCTTTTTTTAAATACCTTCCCAATACCATGCTTGTTGTTGTCATGGGGGCATATGAGACGGAGACTGAGGCCCAATGTAGGGGATTACCCCTACCATAGGCCTCAACTAATTTTGCATTCTTTTCTTCTCTTTCAACAGTGCCTCCAAAAACAAGTAGACAAAGTTACTCTGATCATTCACACCTTGTCATAGCTGCATCTGAATTCCAAGCTCATGCACTATCTTAACTGACCTCACTGGCAATCTTGTTCCTGCTTGTTCAATCTTAATCCTTGTACTGAAACTGTTCCTATCCCTCCAAATGCTTGTCCTATCTACAACAAGAACTTGTCAGACTGTGAAAATTACCTACTTACCTGGCTTGCTGATTATGATGCAGTGGTAGTACTGTGCTACACAATTCTTCTCAGGGGTCAGCATAAGTCCCATGTCAATATTGCCAAGATTAGGGTAAATTGTCCTACCACATCCAACGATATAGACCCCTTCCTTGTCAGTGTCAGAAATGGTGTTTTGGCCACCCAGTCAAACACTGTCCCTCAACAGCCCAGTGCATCATCCTACCTCTACTTGCTTTATCTCCCAGTTGAATTCCTTTTCCAGTCTTGATACTCTTCCAGATACTCCAGTCTCTACTACTTCCTGGATACCTACTCCTCTGTCACCTGTCACACTAGGCAACCTAAATGTTCCATTCCATCCTAGCCTACCACATCCTCTCTGACACCTCCGTTTTCTTATGCTCCTCAGATATCTATCCCCTCTTCTCCTCCTCACACGATAACCTTTGTTTCTCCTCACACGATAACCTTTGTTTCTCAGTCCTTTTCACCCAACTCCCCTCCAGAAACTCCTGAAGGCATCCGAAACTTCCAAAAGATGACCCAAGGGAACACTCCACTGCTTTCTTTCAATCTTCTCTACTCCGACATTTAAAGTTTTTGCCAATATCCATCCTGCTCCTCAAGTTCCCCACCCCTTCCTCCTACACCATTCCAACATACCCCACCCTCTCTGTTGCTCCCACCTGAATGCTCACAGAAATCCCTTCTGTTACAAGAGTGTCCTTCTCCAGACCCATCCCCTCCAGACATTCTTCCTGATACTTCACCACCTCCAGTCACCTTTTCTCATCCCCTGGATTCTTCTCCTAATTATCCAACAGCCATCTCTGTTTTCTTTGAATACTGTCCATATTCCTTTTCCAGTCATAATACACTGCAATTCACTTAATCGCTCTCATACCCTTAACCCTTCCCATTTTACTATATATCTGCTCTACTCTTCCCCTTTTCCTCTTTTCCCTTTTTGCTAACCACTATCCTAAAACACTCTAATCTTTGACATCTAACACTCCCCCCCCCCCTCCCTCCTGGATTCTTCTCCTATTTCTTTCAAGAGCCATCTCTGTTTTCCTTGGACATTGCTCCCTTTTCTCTTTTTCCAGTGACAGATACACTGCAATTCACTTAATTGCTCTACCCCTTAACCCTTCCCTTTTTACTAATCTCTGCTCTAGTTCACTCACTCCCCTCTTTTCCCTTGTCAGCACCATACTATCCTATAATGCTCTCTAATCTTTGACATCTAACACATTTTATCCTAATCTTTACCTCCTCTTTACCCTTCACGACACAATACTTTACCATAGTGCTATATGATCTTTGATGTCTTGCACATTTATTTGTTTTAAATATTACCATTTAATCGTTTTTTATGAACCAATGAATTTAATCTGATTAATAGCTAGAGTGCCTGGCCAGACAACCAAATTCAAATTCAAGAAAAACATGGGAAGGGTTGACACACTGTCCACTGATAGTGGACTTGGTATGCTTATTTCATACAATATTTGTTTGGAAGATGACAATGAAGAACAGAAGCTGTGGTGCAATGGTTCAGAAACATGTTTTGGGTGAAATCCTGTCGGTTTGAGTCAGAAAATTCAGATGATCCAGCTATCCGAAGAAGACGGATCCAATTTGACAGACAGAAAGAGGGAAGTTAATGGGATGAATAGATAGCGAAAAGAATAACAAAAGAGATGTATGAATTAATGTGAGAGAGAGAGAAGAGAGAATTAAATGAAAGCAGAATAAGAATATCATGTGGAATGAATTAAAAGAGACAGAGAGGTGTGTATTATATATATAATATATATATATATATATATATAAGATACTATATATTATATATATTATATATATATATACTTTATATTATATTATTATATATAGAGATAATATAGACTTATAGATTATTCGGATTATCTGGTAATGTTTAGTTAAAGCTACTATATTTTATTTACTATCTTAACCTATAGGTGTTATATATAATACTATATAACACCAGCCATATTATATATACTACTTATCATATATTGATATTTTAGCACCCTATTATAGTATGATCCTAGTCGTACGTTGCTATAGTCACCACCTTATTGCATAATATTATTATATTAAATTTTTAGTGGGGAGATAGTCTTATATCGTCTAGGTATTATATATATAGTGGTATTGGTAAATGGCAATATATAGTTATAAAACTCGAAAGTGGTAAGTTTTAATTATATTAATACTTACTATCGTGACAAAGGTGGAGAATAGCCTAGATTATATCTACATATATATTATATATTTTATTCATCTAATAATAAGTAGAAATAAATACCCTGAGTTTATAGGAAGCTCGGTAACTTTGTATGGCATAAACATGGGCCTATATACTATACGTTGAAAACACTATTTTTCAAAGTAGATTATACATAATAAACATCGCATATAAATCACTAGT